AATGTATCATGCAGAGGAATAAGTTTCCGTTTTCAACGTTGCTGGCATGTCTGCTGTAGGGGAGGATCTATTTCTTTGAAAAACTCTATGAATTTCTCTAAGAGAGAAGGATACATTAATAATAGTTACAATTTATTTTGCGTATGTACAAAATTTTATTTTACTAAACATAAGAATACAACGTGTACATAATATGTATGTTTGGATTTCATTGTTTTTAATTCATGTATATAAACTTAATAAATATTTCTCATTCTTAGTCTAATATTTCATGTAATTATATTTATACGCAATATACTATAGATCTGTTGTGCTATAATATAGATTACTATAAATACGCAATATATTATAATATAGATTATGGTAACAAACTTAATTAAGATTAACTTACGTGATATACTATAAATTTGCTATAGATTTTATGGTAACAAGTTTAACTTAAGATTAAAGTTGACTTTAAAGATGTATTCTAGAAAAAATAATGAAATATGAATAGTGATCTTCTTATGCTTAAAAAATAGAGATATAAATTATTGAAATTTATATTTTCTTTCTCGTTGTAAATTAGAATAACAGGATAATCGTTCATACAAAAGATCGTACATTTATTTATGTACTTACAATTATTCTAACAATAAGAGAAAGAAAAAAATCGTCGACAAGGACGAAAGTTTACAGAGAAGCCTCTTTATTCGAAATTAATTATCTCGACTATTATATAAAACGGTATCATGAAACAAGTTTCTTTCCCGTTTTTTTACTCGAAAGTATGCAACACCTTAATATATGAAAATTTAAATGTTGCTTTAAATTGATTCGAAGGCATCGAGTATGTCAGTGAGAGAAAGGTTATAGCGATAAAATTGCCAATAAAATAAAATTAAAGGGCAACTGCATATTATTTACAAAAATCGCACGTTAATATTTTGTTTCATTAAAACGTATTAGTATTCAAAATTAATAAAATTCTTCATTATTATAATTATCATTCTTTATTGCATTTAAATCGTTTACTATAAAATTATACGTTTTTTGCTGTTTTAAATGTTATAGTTTTGTAGATATTATTACTTATTACTATAATAATATTTGGAACATCATTAACGTTAATAATAATGTTCATAATACAATATATACATAAAATATTTTTACACAGAATTATTAGATTTACCAATTTGAATATGACCTACAATAATTATAATTTTAAGTGGAAAAAAATTGAAATAAATAGCAGCGAATATAAATGAATACAAACAGAGCTTTTAATTACAATGATGTATTTATTACATATACGTATGTACAATATGTCTAGTTCAAATGTAATATAATGAAAATGTGAAAATTTTTTAATATTTTTTATATCGTTATTTAAAATCATTGAAATATGAATTTTTATAAATTATTATCGATGAAGATTTTAGTGTAATTTAATTTAAAGAATTTTATATTTATTATACATATGTTGTTATTATTTTATTGCACATTTCAAGACAAATTCAATAGTATGTACTAAATGCGTTTAAACAATAATTTATTGTAACTATGAAAAATTAATAATAAATATTAAGTTAGGCTAGTTTTTCTTTCATTCATAAATACGAAAGAAGGATTCAAATTAACGAATCAGTATGCTTTTGCTTTAAAAGCAATTGCAATTGAAATGTTAAAATTACAATCTATAGTAAAATATATATTAATTTATTAACTTTGAATATTTAAAATTACCAGACAAACATAACAAATTAAAAAGTACTAAGTATATAAATATAAATATATATTTTTTTATATACCTACGTCTTTATTAAATACATTAAAAATATATTAAATTATATACATTATATGTTATCATTCTTGAATCTTTAATAAGTAAATCAATTATTTTAATTAGAAAATTATTTGTATGAGGATTAAATACTCCAAGAATTAGAAATCAAACAATAATTTATCATATCATATTCTTTGAAATAATGGATATTTGATTTATTGCAAAAATTTATATCAAATTTATAATAAGATTACCAAAGACATGGCGTTTAATAAATTGTATAAAATATAAACTGTATAACGCCTAAAATTACATCATTTTAAGGTCACAAAAATGTTTTTTATTTCAAACATTACACGTTATGAATAAAATTAAAAAATTTGTTTATCATAAATTATTATTTAAATATGCTCATTATATATTGAAATTTTTGTAAATAATAAATAAAAAAAAGTATACAGATACTTCTTTAAATTTATTTTCAGGAAATCAACCATTTTTTAATATTTGCAATAGTATACATTTAAACTAAACATATATACAGAGTGGCCACTGAAAAACTGAAAGGTTTGAAAAAAGCCTGTATTTGTGAGCAGGAAAATGGTGGTCATTTGAGGAATGTTGTTTTTCACACATAATGTTGTCACAGGAAGGTTGTTTTTCACACATAATACTTCTTCAAAAAAAATCCATTAATTATATTTCCAAATAAAATAATAAAAAATTATTTTTGTTGTATGTAAAAAGTTATTTTTGTTTAATATCATTCAGTCTTTCAGTGGCCACCCTATATATATTAATTTACACATATTGTTAAATAAGAATAAAATAATGTTTAACTATAGATTTTTGTAATTCAAGTAATCAGGTGAGACCCTCCATTATATTTATTTTTATCTTGTATCAATATTGTAAATAATATGCAGATATATCTGCGCATAGTAGTTTTTGTCATCTTTGCTTTTTTTGTTAATTATTTCCATTAATTTTATACTACTGATCATATACTTAATAAATCGTTAAATTAATAAAAAATTGTACTTAATCATCGATATAATTTATGATATGATTAAACTGTAAATATTTATGTAAATACGAATTTTTATGAACTTGCTAAAGATATAAAATTTAAATATGTATTTTTCACGTGTTAAATATTATTATTAGTGCTTGGCAATTTTATATATGTATTATGTTCATAAATGCACAAATATTCGTATCTTACATATTAAATATCACCGATAAGTACTCTTTTATACAGAATGGAACAATAAATCACCAATGACGTAACAGATTTGTTTTTCAATTTACGCTTTAGAAAGAAATATTGCAAATATTAATAATAAATATTCTAATCTATTTTTTGTTTATTTGATCTCTAATAAACTACGATAAAGGAGAAGCGCTCCGGAGTAAAAAGGAATAACAGAAATTCCTCCAAATCTTTCTATACTAACAATAAGTACTATATTTATAAATAAGGAGATTTTTCTTAGCGACAGAATATACTTAATTATATATTTATTATATTTAATTAATAAAATTCTAAAAACATATTCTACTGAAACGATAGTGTTGTTGATAATTATAAAACGTTTCTTTATATAAAACTCAATTTTCTTTTTGAAAGAAATTTCGATTGGTATACAATATTTCAGCTTCCTATGTAATTACAATTTTAATCGCGAATTCGATCATAGTTTGTAGACTGTGGATGTTTATGTAAATTAAAAATTTTTATCGATATAACTAACAAAATGAAGTCTAAACAAAAATTTATTTCACTTACCAAATATCATAATGAATATTATATTTTAGATATTTTTTATTATTTATTTCTATGAGATAAGATTCATTTTTTATAAAATATACAACATGCGGAACAAAAAAAAGAGAGAAAAAAATATTAAAGAGTATAGTCAAAATTGAACAGCAAAATATAGGCTAGTAGACAATAAAAATAAATTACGATAAATATAAAGTGTAAGTTAGATGTGTTCCACATACTTTTACAGTTTTAATCCTGTGGTAACATGATTAAAGTTACAGGTAATCACAATAATGTATATTTATCAAAATTTAAGTTATTTGATTTTGTATTTTTCCTCATGGAGATAAAAATAAAATTAAATCAAATCAAAAATTCCAAAATTAATTTTCATAGCTTCGATGGCATTTAGTAGATGATAACAGTTAAGAGTTAAATGTTTTATAAATGCATAAAGATCCACATCTGTTCCTAATTTCCTAAAAAATTTTTATTTGTAGAAAAGTAATACGTAAAATGTGAAATTTAATTTCGATTGTTCGAAGAGGAAAATTTATTGGTAGTCGGGTCGCATCTGCAGACGCAGCAAGACGGGAAAAGGAACCAGTCCATAAAAATACCTTTGCAATCGTTATCAGGATCGTACGCAAGTAATCTGTGCCATTTATACTTTTGTTCGCAACCGCAATCGCCAGTACAACGGTTTGTCTGAGTTTTTCTGAAAGAGAAAACTTTTTAAAGAAATGTCGTACATTCTGCATACAATTATGAAGGAAAACACACTTACGAGCAAACTTCCTGGTGAATGGCCTGCTCAAAATGTTGTGTGTTCACAATGGCACGAATTTTGCCAGCACTGTTGCTGGCCCAGTAAGGAGTTACAATTTCCACTTTAGACTCACATGCATCGACTCTGGAATACATTACATCATTTAATATGATGCTTAATATTTGTATTTGTTATGAAAAATAAAAATTTTTGGACTATTTGAAATAAAGATAAAAAGTAATATGTAATTTGAAATACAATTTTAAAAATGGCATTGAAAAAGTATCTTTATTTCTGATGAGTTCAAATCAAAAAAATCATTTGCAAATAATCTTGTTTTTAATAATAAGTTTCAAGTGCTTTGGTTATTGCATGATTAGCAACTATCAATTATTTTTATGTTCTTATATTTTATTCAGTGAAATAGATTTAAAAAATAAAATTCTTCAATTCTAAAGTTCTTCAGTTTCTCGTTCTCAAAATTATTCTTGCGGAGGAGAGCGTTGTTTTCGAAATTTTCACGGTAAGTCTTATATTTTGAATATTAAAGTAGCGGAGAGAGCATTGTGATAGCCGAATGATATTAATCTTTTATATTTGAGTTAATTCGTTAAAATAAAATAATCACAGTACAAAGTGAAGTTTTACTCAATAAATTAAAAAATTGTTTGAGAAATTATTTTAGTATCTAACAATAATTTAAAAAATTATTTTATTTGATAATAAAATAATGAAATAATTTAAAGAAAGATAAAATGAACTGACATAAGATTATTTCAAGATAACATCAAATCAAACAAGATAATTTACGTAATTATTTTTTAAATATTTTATTCAAATGTCCAAGTTTATAACTATTTTGTTTTTTCTTTATCTTTGAAGGTATATCACCTTCATATAATTTCTATGTATTTATTTACAAAAAGAAAAATTAATTATTAGAATGCGAATTTTATGCATTTATAAAAAGTTTGGAGTTGCAGAAACATATAATATCTAAAACAAATATTTTTAGTTTCTATTTTTTTAATGATGTTCACAAAAATTTTTAAATCCATAATCTGCATTCTATTAATTATACTAGCAAAGCTAATTATATCAAATCAAGAAAAGATCAACAAAGCAAGTTTAGTTTGATGCATTTTTTTTCTACCACTAATGATAATCGAGGTATTTTGGTGACTTGTTTTACGCTAACTACCTTGTATATTAAGTATGTTATAATTTCTTAATGTAGTTTCGAACGACATTATTTGTATACACAGACAGAAAAAAAATGAAAGTCTCTATATAAGAAAAATGCATCAACAGGACAAGTTGAATTATTACGCTACTGAAAAGTGATGTCCAGTCATTAGTGATTTTTAATGATGCTATAAATTCGAGTTTTCGAGAAGGAAGTACCTGCCACTATCATTTCGATTTTTTCCAGGAGATTGTCGAGGATTTCTGATCCTTCTGATATTAGCGAAAAATGAGTCACCATCAGCTTCGATTTTTGGATGCAGTTCGTCGCGAAAACTAGGACCACCGTCAGGGATATTGTGTTCTGTAGCTTCCCTGCTTTTTCTTCTTCTACGTGTTCGATGGCCAGGTTCTTTTGTTGGGGAGCCGTATCCTGAACTCATTTCAAAGTCACCGTACATTCTCTTCATCAATGCCTTATTTTCATCAATAAAACGTTCTATCCGTTCTCTAAAAACAATTTATTGGTCTCAGTTTTATTATTTTACGAGTGCTTGTTAAAATTTTTAATACAAAGTAAAAGTATATGCTGCAGTAAAAAGAATGTTATTACATAGAA